CCGAATTCAAAATAAAGTTCATTTCCTGGGTTTCTTACGCTTCCTTCCAGTTCCCCCTGTCCTGCCCATTCGGGCATGCTCAAGGGGTTGGAGCTCCAAAGATTTAGACCTTTCATACTGTCGTCGAAAGGCTTTAGCCCTTGCATTGGTTGCCAATTGAAATTCTGCGAGGACTGCGAGTCCTTCATTGATATATATTCTCGCGGTCTTTGCCGCCTGCCACCTACCTGCTATGAGCAGTTTGTCTAGCGACCCGTGTTTTGCAAAATAGGAGGTGGCACCTCCCCTTCGCAGGCTGTAGGGTCTAAAAGAATGCTCACTGAGACCTGTTGCCTCCAAGTACTCAGAAAATTTCTTTCGCCAGACATGAGCGGCTTCGCAGAGTGAAGGTCTCGAACTTGGGGTGTTTTTCCATTGCCACAGGCGTCTTAAAGTGTCTTCTTCCCGGATTGTGACGCTTTCGGCGGCGCCTTGACGCCTACCACCTTTGGTCAAGCCAAGAGAAACTATTGCTACACTTCGAGGCCCCTTCTGTTCTATGTGTGCCTTCTTTATTCCCAATAGTTCACCAGTTCGAAGAAGTCCATGAAACCCCAACAGGAGCGACAGAGCAAAGAGGTCATCTTTCTTGAACAGGCTGTAGCCGACGAGTATGTCTAAAGCTTCTGTGGGGAGTGGTGGCGCGCGACTCGGAATCTCCGTGGAAGACCATGTTTTCATCAGCCTCCAGGAGGATGGGAGCCTCCCCTTGGCCGACGGCCTATAGTCTTGGACTGACGCAATCGAATCACAGGCTAATGCTCTTCCTTCTCCACTTTCCCAAAGGAACTCAATGTAGTGGCTCAACCAAAAATCAAGCGTAGCGGGATCATCTGGAAACCTTCTGTTTTCTTCTCTGAGGAAGTTGCGGAATCTTTCAAGAGCCTTGTCATATCGTGCACGGGTAGCGGGTTGAACTGCTAGGTGACGCAAGGGCCCCAATGCTCGTCTCTGCTGTTGTCGGGATGCTTTGTCTTTGCCTTCTACATATGCTTTGCTATGACTCACCATTTCTTCTTCACGGGGCGCCTCGAGGGCGCATCAGCGGGGTTTTCTTTCGTGTGAACATAAGCCCACACGCCATGTGAGCCACTGGCAAGGAGCAAAGCATTAATCCGACTCATCGTTCGACGAAGCTTTCTGCTGCTGCTGCGTCCCCTAGACAGGGAGTGGAGACACACCAAACTGTCTACTAAGTGCACAAATTTTGTCCGCAAGGCTTTCCTCTTCACAATGCGCCAGCGGAGGGAAGTGAGTACCGCCCTCATCTCCAGCACATTGATGTGCTCCGGAGACCCCTTCCAGGGCCATCCCATGACTGTTTTCCACTTCCACAAGGCTGATGGCAGGCTGGCCCGCAACCGATGGTAGCGAAGTGTCTCTTCACTGGGTGCTTGAATCATGATATCCTCTCCTTTTAGGCTGACCATGTTTAGGAGTTTGGAGACAAGCTCGTACTCCCCTTCGGTCCCTGCCCGCTTGACTCGCCTGATGCTCTGCCGTTGCAACACTCCTCCAACCGTCGTAGCGGCTCCTGGTCTTGTTGCCTCAACTGCCTCCTGGGGTGTCTTTGCCTGGCAAAGTCCTAGTAGGTGACCAAGTTGCGAAAGAAGCCACACCACCACGGTCACGTTCCAGCTGTTGCCTATCAAAGACCTTCTTTCGTCTCCATGAGCTTCGCTCCCTTGCTGCTGTTTCGGCATGCAGTGGACTGTGTAGTTGCGGGGGGAACCCCATGATGGTCTCACGTTCCTGTATGGATGGAATGCGGCAAGTACCATTCCCTTCCTTCACTAGCAAGCGATGAGAGTACTGGTATGGCGGGAAGCGAAACTTGTCCTCTTCCCATGCTCTCCTTTCCTCCGGCTTCAACTCTTCCAGGCCTGCTGGCCTCCTTCCCGGCCATGGTCGTGGTCGAGAGGTGGTAAACGTTGGGAACGGTTCCTCAGAGGTCTTGACACAACCGGGTTCCAAGAAGTCCTTGGGATCGATCACGGCTTGTAGTTCAACCTCCTGATATGATGCCATCCCACAATCAACTCGTGGGTGAAAGCGAACACCAGGGCCAGGTTGCAACTCCCAATCTAGCCAGTAGAGCCGAGGGCGACGTGCTAGCGACACTCCACTGGCCTCAATCCTGACGGGGGGTGTCTTCAAAGTCACGCGACATGATCTCACGGTCTTTGCGATCCATGGAGGCTACACTTTCAGCGAGGTACCTCACCTGCGCCCAAGGAAAATGGGTCTTCAGGAGCTCCTTTATGCGACGCACATGACTGAACAAACAGCTCCTGTGGTCTTTCAGGGCGCCTCGACGGTCACTGTTCAATCCACTCACACCTTGACACGGAGGTCCCGCACCTAGGAGAACAAGTGAAGCCTGGGAGAACCTTCCGGCCCAACCACGCACCATCTCCGAGTCCACAGCCTCCACACCACCTTCAACGAACAATGTAGCAGGAAACCTGCTCTCCAAGACTCGGCTGGCCTCCTTCTTCACCTCAACACTGATATGACCCAGGACAGGGAAACCACAAGCGTCCGCCGCCACTCTCAATGCACCGATCCCATCAAAAAGCCCCACGGTGAGGACCGCACACAAGTCAGAGGGTTCGGCAAGGTCTCCTCGCACACTGGCCTTGGAGGCCGCTTCGCCAAAGCCTGTAAGGCCAATGCTACGGGTAAGGCCTCCTCCAGTAGTCGATGCGTCACTTGCCGTGACCTCAGCACTCACCTCCAACCTGAAGTCCATCTGCGCCAGCGGTACCAGCGCGATGAACCTGGCAATCTCCAACTTGACCTCCTGCGGGATCTCCAGCTTGATGACGGGAGGATAGTGTTTAAACTCCTGAACAAATCGCCACACTGCATTCAGGGAGCCCAGCAACGGCCGCCTGAACATGCTCATGTACACTAGGCCTCCTGCGACGATTTGGATCTGCTTTACTGAGCACCTCTTCTCCCCCAGTAGGAGACTTCCTAGCTGTGCGTACTTCAGCACTTTCGCCGGCTTGGGATAGGCTATCCCCCTCACTCCGTCAATGATGGCACCCTGCACCTCCGCCTTCAAGGAACGAGATACTCCCTTCTTGGGATGACGAGGCACTCCCCATCGCTCATATTCTGATCGAAGCGCCAAGATACTAGCACTAGGCTCCCCCTTCAGGAGCTCTGCTGTCTTCTTGTCCATCTTCTCCAGGGAGTCGAAATTGTCGAGGTAAATTCTGTGCAGGGTTGAGGATGACGAAAACGGCCTGTCTTTTCGGATCTCTTGTTCTGGCTTGAGCCCCTCTTCAACCAACCCCCCCTGCCCGTCTCACCATCGCACGGTGTACGTGCTGTGCTAGGCTCACGCTGTTCTTAAACCCCATAGGCAACACCTGTGAGGCTAAGTAGTAAGGTCCATCATCATCAGGCCAAAACACACGCGGGAGGGGTCTGTTGAAGCCAAGGAACATCGACCATTCCCGAGGAACCTGAAAAATATAAAAGAAACAACGAACATCCTCGGACGACACGACTAGATCCTCTGCCGGCATAAGCTGTAGAGGGCTCATCGTAGCCCAAGTAGGTAGCGTGGAGACGTCTCCATCGATGCCACGACATACGAGATTCGCCGGTCGAAGGTCCATAATCAGGCGGTGAATAGGGTGTCCTCCTTCCTCCTCCCCCTTGGGGACTCCAAAGAGTCCGTTTAGGAGGGGACGACCGCCGACGTGATAAAGCTCTGCTTCTTTTAGTGCGATGCACACCCCATTCCCTAACAAGCCTTCACAGACCCGGGGCCACGCCTCGTCGCTGATCATCAATCGAGGCGGCTTCATTGGCTTTTGCATCTCCTCAGGCAAAACGTACGATGAAAAGTTCATCACATAGTGTCTACACCCGAGTTCAACCACGTCAGCCAAGGGGACCGAGGCAATCTCGGAAGGCATTGCTGGGGAAAGATTGTCCCACGTGGTGAATTGGGCACACAGAACCTCTTCTCCACAATAATCGATAGTCTTTACCTGAAGGAACTCTTGCCAGGTTGTCTCTTCAAACCTCTCTTCCCACTCCAATGCTGCCTTGGTTTGGCCTTCAAGAAACCTCAGCACACCTACCTGGAGGGCAACTGGTGAAAAAACGGTTCTCCAACTCAACCCCATATAGACAGTTCAAAGCAACGCACATACCCCGAACCATGATGGCAACCTTCTCTGGTACCTGCAACGTCTCCCTGAGCACTTCCATCTCAGTGGGCAACGGAAACAAGTCGCCCGTGGGCTGGGCCATGCACTGCAAGGGCAGGTCAATCTTGGAGCTAGCTTCAACTAAGATGGATGTAACCCAGGGAAAAACACTGACCAACTCTTCTCCCCCACACGGCGGCTTCATGCAAACTTTTTGCAAGGTGGTGTTAGGCTCAAAGGCGTCCACACCTGCGTCTTCTGCCAGGGCAACCTCCTTTAAATGGCGCCTCGTGGCTTCTGTACCCAGTGCGGCTGAATCTAACAAAGGCTCAACCCCACTGCTGTCGGAGAATTTCGCTCGGCTTCCTTCAATGCGCCAAGCTTGACGACCTGCATCTATGCCTTTTGGATCTCTCTGGTGCCCTAACTCTCTTGCTTCTTTCCTTGCTCCTTTTCTTTGCCCTTCTTTCCTTTGCCCTTTCCTTCTTTGGACTTTCCTTTTTCCTGCTGCCATGGCGTTTCTCGCCAGCTGCCTGACCAGTCTCCTTTGGCCTTCCCTTTGCTGGCTTCGGCTCGGGTGCGGTTCTCCTCCTTGGATTCTTTGATGGCTTCTCGCGTTTCTGCACGACTGGAGATGATGGGCTTTTCTGCTGGTACCAACTCGATCCTCTGCGATATTGACCAGCTGGCGCCCTGTGCGCTCATCTCGATGGCCTTCAGCCTCTGCATGAGCCCATCTGAAGCTTCGGCGATTCTGCCCTGCATCAGTAAATCTAGGCACCAACTCAAGGTCAATGCTTCGCGAGATTGGCCACCAGTCACTCGGGAGCTCAGTACCTGACGGAAGTACTGGCAGCAAATGGGCTGCAGCGCGCCCTCCGACTGATCCCAAATGCCTCCCGTCGAGTTGAGGAGATTGCTCGCCATCTCTCGGCACCCTGCTGTCGTCAGTGCCCCTGGGGCGAAGCGACCAATCTTCCTCACCTTTTGGGTCTCTTCGAAGAGCTCTCCACTCTCCTCTTCGGTCGAACCACTGCTTGTCTCGGTGGATGAGCTCCCCGATGAACTTTTCCTTTTCTTCTTCGCCTTCCTCGACGCCTTGGCAGTGATCTTCTTCCTCACTTTGGGATTCGGGTCCATGCCTGTACCCTCGAAGACGCTCTTGAGGCTCTTGCGGGCCATGGCACGGATGGATACCTTCTTCTTGCTCTCCCCTTTGGGAGACTGCCTCTCGTCTGAAGACCTCCCTCTCTTTTTCTTCTTCTTTTTCTTCTCTCGCTCCCGACTCCTTCCTCTTTCTATCTCTCTCTTCTCCTCCTTCTCTCCTGCAGGGTCTCCTCCACGAGCTGCTTCGCCTGCCGCCTGTCCCCCTGGACGCTCTTCGTCGACCAGGTTCATAGCCCAGGCAGGGTCCTCTCCTTTCCTCAACTTTATCTCCTCCCCATGAAGGAGGTTCTCTGCGTCCAGCATGGCTTCGCACCGGCTCCCGCACATGTGGATGCGCATGACCTTCTCGGATGAGCCTGTCGCCCACCTCAAGATGGTTTCCGTCGTCGTCCCCTGCAGGTCCACCTCGATCTCCACGTCCTCCTTGCCACGGACTTGAATTGCTCGCACCAAGCCTGTGATCTCGCATGGTGCCCCCCCAGTAACGTCCTGTGATGGTCACGGGGAGCCTTTTTCTGAGCAACTCCAATGGAATACTCTGACATCTCACTGCTTGGCCTTCTTCAAACAGTCGTCCTTCACCTCCACCTCTCACTTCAGCAGCCTCCGGCCTTTCCGGGCCTGCCGCGGCTGGGCGTCTTCTCACCCTTCCTCCCCTCTCTCCAGGAGGATCTCTTCTCCTTTCTTCTCTCCTCTCAATTCTTGCTGCTGGCCTTCTCAATGCCATTGGGGTGGGTCTCAAAGACCCGTACTACCTCCTGAAGTAGTACTGCTCTTCCTTCTTCTTCCGTCCTTTGTTCGTCCCCCAGTATTGGGGTTCTCGATGCCAAGCCTGGATGGGGCCTGACCACTGCCGGCCTGTCGGCCTTTGCACCGCTGGTGGCGGTCCGTAGTGCCTTGCTACAGGCGGTTCCTTAGGAGGCGGTCCTCCCCTTCCTTTTGGCGGCGACCGTGAGGGAGTAGTGGGTGGCCTCACTGTCGGTCTTGCCTTCTTCTCCTTATCTCGAACGGGCTGATCTCTCTTCCTTGACCTGTCTCTATCCTCTTTGGCTGGCTTTGACCTTGGTGACGAACTCTTCTTGCGCCTCTTCCTAGAGTGTCGGCTCCTCGATCTTTCCCTTCTCTTGTCACTCCTGCTCCTTCTCTTCGGAGTCTTTTGATCCTCCTTTAGGACCTTTGATCCACTTGAAGTCTTTCCTTCCTCCTCTACTCCAACTATCTCTACTACACCTGGGCTTCCTCCGGGACTCTTTGGCCTGTCCTTCTCCTCCTTGGGCTTGATCCAACTTTTGTCAGGTCTTTCTGCTTCCTCCTTCTTCTCGCTCCCCTCCTTAGGAGCGCTGGGTGGCTTTGCTAAGCTGGCTGACTTTGCTGCAGCAGTATTTTCAGCAGCTTCCCGGGCTCTTTGAAACTCGAGGTACTTGTCCGCCTCCTCTTGGATGATTCCAGTCCAGATTCGGACTGTCGAGATCGCCCAACTGCGGAGCCCCACTGGGATATCGTCCAACACTGTCCACCAGCGGGTCCGAACTCTGCAGAAGGTGCAAGTGAGCTCACCCTCCCCAGCAAGGAGGCCGCACTCACTGCACCTTCCCATTCGCTGCGAGCCCAAACCCTTCGGGAGAAAAGAGTCAACCTACTTCGTCTTAAATTACGGGGCCGTAAGCTCATGGATTGTAATTTGCCTTGCAGTTAACAGTCATTTGAGATTCAACGGATGTGGATATGTAAATACAAACCGTATATATTATACCAATCAGCCCGTCACAGTGGTGAAGCAAACAAAAAAAAGGTGCTTTTCCACGGGTTGTGGAAGGGGTGATCATGCAACAATTAGGGTGATCATGCAACAATGTTGCACTGCGCATCATACTTGACCAAGTCACCGATGAGCAGTGAAACTTTGTTGTGTGAAGAGTGCATTTATCGTGATGTCATCGCATCGTATGAACATACTTGAGACTTGGTCATGAAGTCATCCAATCATCCATGCATCTTCTGACAAAGTTGTCTGCATGGATTACATATCCAGAAATCATAGTGGGCCAGCAATAGCACTGTACCTAGTCACCAGGTCACTGGATATAGCGCCTAGATGCAAGGTCATGTCTTCCTCTGTGAAGTAGCAAACATCGACTTCGTTTAAAAAGGGGGTAGATACCTAGAACCCATTTGACACCGGTTTTGATAAGCGGCTGGTGATCCAAAATGGAGGTCGGCATAATATTGTATAAACATCAGTGGCAAGCGTCAAAAGTCATGAGTCGTTCACATGTTTTTAGAAGCATTCTGCGTTAAGCTAGCAGTTCGCCACTTTTTTTTGGCCAACCCCAATCACCAAGTCCTCATCTGTGCACGCGTTCAAAAGCAAACAAAGGGGGTTGCTTGATCAGAAAAATCTTTGTAAAACAGTCACCTTTCACCAACCCCGCTCAACAGCCGCGTCCATCAAGCGCGGTCCATCAAGACGGTGTGTGGGGTGGCGTTTTCAGGGGCCTACTTAGACTGGTTCTGTCCATCGCGTTCGGATTCCCGGTAAGCTTTTAGACAAACCTCTGAAGAGACCTTGGGAAGACAACTGAGTCCACGCATGTCCACACCTTTCCGGAAACCAAGCCTTCTTGAAAGAAGCTGTGGAACACAAGCTTGGAACAATTCTGGAAAGAATTCAGCCCCCCGATTTGAGCACTTCACACACCCAAGAACGCTGAACTGGTCGCCACGGATCCACCGGGGATTGTTGAAATGCTCCCGGGGGGTGACCCAACAAAAACCTCCGGGAGCACCAGGCTCACGACCGGTTTTCCTCAAAAAGCATCCGTCACTGCCTGAACAATGTGCTCAGAAACCTTCCAAACGGGTCTTGATGTGGACCTCCAGGCCCACGGACGACCAAGCAGCACCGCACGCCGAACCGACGTCCACCTCCAAAGATCTCAGAAGGGCTCCTGGTCTTCCGGGGCGCAGGAACGTCGCTGTGGAGGCTGCCGCGGAAGCACGTGTGGCGTACAGGAAGACCCCCGGGCCCCTACAGTCGTCCAGTCGGCCAAGTGGAAAACCTGGTCCGACCGACCTCATTCAGTACTGGCTTTGCATTTTTCCCGGGATCCAGTCAAATGAGGTCCTTGACCTGTAGGGCAAGATAAAAAGTTCGTAGATGCCCATGTAGAACAGGTCTAGACAGGACACACCGTGCCACGATCTATTTGGGGATCACTATGTGGAGATGTGGAATGTTTCTTCTCCTAAAAGTCCCTGATCTTCACTGATCAGCGCTTGGTCGTGGATGGGAGGAGTTGAACCACGAAGGCAGTGAATGCCACGCAGTTCTTCGGGGCTTTGTAGCGAGAACCTGGTGGCCGGTCTACTTGCCTCGTAAAGAGCGTCTCAGAAAAAAAAACGAATTACACAACGTGCAAACAAATGACCCAAAGCGAACCAGAGCCGTAACAGCTCTGTCAAGGGCGCTAATTCACCATAGAACCCGGAAAATAGACCCTGGCCCTGTATACCTGTATACCAAACTCTGTGGGCGTCCACTGGACCAAAACTCTCCACAAGGTGCGGCACGGGATCCTGATTGTTGCGGGTCTATCCCACTACCAGTAACAGTAAGATGAATAATTGTTTACCGACTGTTGCGGTTGCAGGTAATAGGACCAGGAGAAACAGTATAATTGAGCCCACCATCAGGAGTGAAACAGGAACCAAACGTACACTTCAATGAAGGGTACAGCGGTCACTGAAGTGTATACCGTATACCATTCATTGACATCCGACCATGAAATACCGCATGAACGCGCTGGCGCCGCTAGCTAGCTAGTTCAGCACTCACGAAGAGGGACATCACTTTCCCCGAACCAATCGAGGGAACATCCAATTGCATCGCGTCGAGCTTCGCCGTGCGAATTCGGCCCGTTCGAGGCATCGCTCGGTGTCTGCCGCGAGGGAGACCGGTGCAGACCACCGTCCGAACCGAAACGATCGGAGAAGCAGTGGATGTGCTACGGAGATGGCTGGCAGTTCCTGGAACGTCAGCTTGACCCGAGTTCTTCTTAGTTCATATTCGTTGATATTCGTTGTGCTCACGCGGGTTTGAGCTACAGATTCTCCACCATCTTTTGGGTTCAGTTGGTCTGGAGAAGAATCCATAAAATGTGCATGGCAAGATCAGGATTTCTCGAGTCAAAAATGGTCGCTACCAGCTACCCCCAGCCTCCATTTTCTGATGAATCTCCAGAAAATTGGACCGAAACATCTGACAGATGTAGCCTCTTATCAGGCTTCTTCCTTTTGACTCCACCCTACCCCCTGTTGTCGGAGTCTGGATCAGATCACGGATCAGAAACTTGGCCTCATCCGTCTGGATGTTCAGGTCTTTGAACGACGGAGACCACCTCTTCAGGGCATGGCGGCATGGAACAGATGGAATAAGGGCGTCGCTACTAGTAACAAGGGCAATACTACTAGTAGCAAGAAGCTACTAGGTTGGAGGTCTTCGCTAGTAGGTTGGAGGCCATTACTAATAACAAGAAGCTACTAGTAGTAATGCCCTGTTCCTAGTAGCGGCATGGAACAGGTCCAGTAGGAAGATCGATGGTCGTCTTGTACAGCTTGGGTGACGGGTCGTCCATTCGTTTCAGCGTGAAAAGCGTCATGCGTTTCTGTCGAATTCGGTTGATGTTGATTGGATCATCTTTTCACTACGAGCATTGAACCGTACTCACTACACCCTCTCTTCATAAACAGATTCAGCCCCATCATCAGCTGCTGGAATAGGACACCACCTACGTTGGTCGGAAAAATTGGAAAGTGCAATGCAACTAGAGAATCAGCAATGCAACTACGGTGATTTCAGAGTAGATGGCACAAACCAAAAAAATGTCTTTTATATATGGGGGTCCTTTTAAACCACCTCCAAGACCGCACTGTAAGCGGCTAGAAGCAAACACGAAGCAAACCGCCAACCATCAAACTCACTATAGACCATCTCCAGGACGCTCATGACAAACACG